GGCTTCTGCCAAAGTTCCTCGGCTTCTTCAGCGATTTTTTCGGGGCTTAACATTTTTTAATTTTGATATTTCGGCTTTTATTCTTTATAAATATTTCCCCGGCATTTATCTATGCTTTTCTAGAGGACGTAGGTCTTTTTTTGTGCGTTCCCGAAAAACGGGGGCAAAATTTATTTATTCCCAACAACACGCGAGCGAGTGGAAGCGCACGCACACATTTTTACGGAGCAACACCTTTCTGGGGGGACAGGGAGATTGAGGATGAGATGGTTTTGTTTTTCGAGAGTCGGTGAGTCCGCAAGGCGACTAATTACACTTTGTACGGAGCGTATTTTGGGCCGTTAGCCGTTTTTAGGGGCCGGCCGGCCTTGTTGATTTACTGACTAGTCTTTTCACTATAGTTTATACGTACTGAACCAGAGCCAGTGGGGTGATTATTAGAAACTCAGTTTTTGGCGCCAGCGTAGCTATGTAGTAGGAGGCGAATATTCGATCCGCGCCATGGAAAACGTAGCCGAGTATCTTTATAAACTTTTTTTTGTAAGTTATTGGCAGGACAATGCACGGATTGTTGATCTACCTGAACCTGGCGAGAATTTCGATGGGCTAAACGTGCAGACAACGCCGGAAACTGTAGCGTATACTGCTGGGAATATGCCACCGATTTTTCAAAGATTTGGCCCATTATCTTTCCCCAATTTAAAGGGCTGCCGACGGCATGTGTCAATCCCCCCTCATCAACAAATTGGCAAGTAGCCAACAGGGCAAGAAGCGCGCCCTGGGGAGAGGCGCAGAGACATTTTCTTTCCCGCGCGTAATCGATTGATTATGCCGTCGGCATCCCTTTAACAAAAAAAGGCGCCCGGGGTAAAAATTTTCGACCGCGGCCCACGCTGAAATTTGGGTTTGCTTCGACCCGTTTTGTATTTTCGAAAGCTTGCCCGTTGCAGCTTTTATTTAGTTTCAAAATCCTATTTCAATCAAATTCACGATCGTAGTCGAAATCCCTAATCATTCTGTTTAGGCGCGATTTTGGTCAACCAAGCAATGTCCAGCGATCTTCCGCCACGATCCAAAGAGAAATCGACTTTTGTCACGCCGGCCGATGTCCAGCGCGAAATTAAACAAGAGCTACCAGGTACTGCAAAGTCTTCAATTGGTATCAGTTCAGTTCCCGGACACCCAGTTCCCCGACAAATCAGTTCCCCGACACTCGGTTCCCCGACAACTCAGTTCCCCGACAATCAGTTCCCCGAAAATTATAAGGTGCTATTTTAACGTAATTATAATGGTGGTATCATTCCCTAATTGTCGGGGAACTGATTTGTCGGGGAACCGATTAACGGGGAACCGATTTGTCGGGGAACCGATTGTCGGGGAACTGATGGCTCTATACTGATAGCGGGGTCCTTAACTTTTAACGGGGTCCTTAACTTTTATCGGGGTTCTTAAAAATTATCGGGGTCCTTAACTTTTAACGGGGTCCTTAAAAAATATCGGGGTCCTTAGATTTTTACAGGGTCCTTAAATTTTGGCGGTAAAAAAGTTAAATAACGGCGTCCTTAAGATTCTAAAAATAGTTTCGGGGCTCTGGGGTGTTATTCCCTAAGATAGGCTATCGGTTTCCTGCTGGCCAAGTGGTTAGCAGGCTGTCTGGGAAGGCTTGTAGCTCGAGTTCGAACCCCGCCCTGGAACATAGCTTTTGCTGATTTGCTCCCTTGCATCGTTATTGTTTTTAGTGCCTCTACAAAGCGCCGCTGGCAACTTTTTTTGAAGTATTGCGTATGAGGGTGCCGGTAGGAAGTATCTTTAGTTTTACGCTAATATGACTAATTTTGGGATATGGATATCTTTTGCAACCAGGATTACATGTAGCAAATACAAACCGATCGATTATCTTTACCATACGTTTGATAGCGCACTTCGATAGCTTCCTTTGATTCAAAATACTAAAAAGTTCCATACTTTTTCGCTTGTAAGTTCCCTACTTCGTTAAAACTTTTGTTATTTCGTCATACCCACTATATTTAAGCATTCTGGCAAGGGCCATGGGCCCAGAGCCTCAAAACTATTTTTAAAATTTTAAAGGGGTCGTTATTTAACCGAGCCCTGAATTTTTTTACCGCCAAAATTTAAGGACCCTGTAAAAATCTAAGGACCCCGATATTTTTAAGGACCCCGTTAAAAGTTAAGGACCCCGATAATTTTTAAGGACCCCGATAAAAGTTAAGGACCCCGTTAAAAGTCAAGGACCCCGCTATCAGTATAGAGCCGAACTGATTTGTCGGGGAACCGTGTGTCGGGGAACCGATTGGAATTCCTTCAATTAGCTGCTTTTCAACGTACTCACCTAATTTTCTTGGGAAAGTGCCGTATTGTTGCTGAGATTTGTAGCGGAGCGAGGCTAAATTCGTCGCACAATCCCGTACGGGTCCTTAGCAAATATAGGCCTTATATATAGAATTTTACGCTAAGCTAGCATTTTTTACTTTGCGCAATTGTTTGGAAAATGACGACAAAAATATAAGCTTTTTAAATCTGGTTGCGATTTTCTCAGCAATGAAAAACCGCAAAGATGGCTATCAAGATACGCTATATTCTGTTGCCAGATTCTATGCCAACGCTTTTTTCCTTAGAAAACGACGTACGCAATGGACATCGCAAGGGCATTGAGGAGCGGATCGCTCTTCATGGCGCTGTAGATGTTCAAACGGGTATAATCAAGTGTTTATTACGATATTAAACGCAGTTTAGGTAGCAATCCAATTGAAGAGACGAGACGAGTCGAGAAGAAGAAGGTCAAAAGAAGCCAGGACTGTCCAGCGGAAGTAGAGGTTGTGACGATCCCCTCAGCGTCACCACCCCGAGTCGCTGTTGTACAACCGAGCATCGAGGCCGTTCCGGGAAGCGAAACTGACGGCAGTCTGGACAAACGCGTGGAGGAGACGATTGTAATAGATTTACGGCAATCAAAGTAACTTTTTTAGATGACGATGAAATTAGAGCTGGCAAAGATCGACTCCGACATGGTCAGAACGCGCTCCGCCATGAGAGAGACGAAATCGGACATGGCCCGCATGCAAGCCAACATCGCACTCCTGGTATGCATTTTTATAGCTTTATTTTATTACTGTTTTACTAGTATACATAATACGTTCCATTTCAGAAAGCCATCTCGGAGACGCGGAATGCCGAAAATCGTCGCCTGAAGCAGTAAAATTTATTATACAATTTGTTAAGAATTCTTGTTGTTATAACGTTGTTATTACTTTGTTGAGCCGAATAAATTGTTGCTGTTGAAAATCGTTGTTATAGTTGTGCCGGCTCTTTTCGTTAAAATATCTAAACAACCATTCGAATTTGGAGGCTCGCGACACGCAACGCTCAATGTTTAAGGTGGCAGCTTACGTTGCGGAAGTGATTTAGACCGCTCTACGACGGGAAACGGCCGCGTTGCGTGCAGTATGCGCGGCAAAAATTTTGTAAGCGCGAAAATGAAACTATTCTGCTTTAAAATAGCATTTTATCAATTTTTGTCATTTTTATTAGTAGATTTACAGTTATAGCGCGTTGTACTTTAGGACTCAAAGGCCATCGCCAAGCTCCCCATGACGCGCCGAGGCGAACAGCATCGCATTGAGCGCAGGCAGCTGAACAAGTCAGCCTAGCACAAATACCACCTGCCTAGCGAAAATCAAATTTTTTTCGGAGTGGACCCTCAGTAATCTGCTCACAGGATAACTCTAAAAATTTTGTACACATTCAGCAGATGGCAGGGACTAATATTTCGACTATTGATTTTTATGCTAATCCGTACTTTAATATTTTGACGATATACAAATTTATTGGTACGTAACTTTGCGTAGAAGAGCGTAACGTTTCGCCGCACTTGTTGCTACCCATAATTACATAGTACGAGCAAACGGTGCGCGTTTTCTTCGTTTTCCTAAAAGAAAATGAATTTTCTGTTTTTCGCACAGCTGTCTCGGGCTTTTCCCCTGACCGTATTCGAAGGAAAATTTTATATAGCGCAGTAGCGGGAGCGTTTTTTTTAGCTTTTTAAAGCTCCTGCGCACTCTGAAATGCTGTGAACTGCGCCCGATTAATTAAACTTTATAATTTCCAAAAATTAGATAGTTTCAGGCCCAATCGTTATGATAACGAATATTTTTGGAATCTACGTCGTGCACACGCAGACACCGCCCCGAATGCGCGACTATTCGTTTTGTCTGCAGTGCCATTTGGTACGAGAAAATCCTATCATTTAACTTATCATACACAATCTTGATAATGACGCTATAATAACGTACCACATACAAATTCCAGGTGCTTGGAATGGTGCACGAGACCGTATGGACAATTCTGGTGTGTCCTCGCCTGTATCTTCCGCAATTTATGGGCTCTACGCATGGATTATTAACTGTATACCTTCAGGTCGACGTATTTTATCAGGTAAGCGCGCGTTACCCGCTCCTTTAACACAGTTTTCGGGATAATTCTGTGTGATCAAACTACATGACAATTTTAGCAAACCTTCGGCCTGATAATGATTTTTGTAATGACGTGCACGGTGGCTCATCTGATCCTATTTCGTGCGAATTCCGTCCTACCACCCAGCCATCCATTAAAACTCAACAAAGCGAGGGTATGGTTTATGAGAATTACTAATTTAGTGTTATTTTTATCAATTTTATATTTGTAATTAACCTTTGACATTAATTATGGATTTTTTGTGAAGTTTACTGTAAAATATTGTGGATTTTCTATTAATAAATAAATTTTCTATTAAAATTTACTTTTAGATAAAAAAAAAACATAATAAAATTTGGCCATTTTAGCTAAAAATCCTGATATTAACCCTCTACATTGTCTCCCCATTGTTTATAATGATTGGCGAGGCTGGGCTGAAGATGAACAACGATGGGATGGCGGCCGGAAAAGATGCTGTAGTGGTAAGCTGGTGGGTTGACTAATTTTTAGCAAATTTTATAGAAAAACCCGGGGTTCCCTACGCTTCAGCTCGCCTATAATTCAATGTATTCGGTGGACGGCATGGAATGGGGTGCCGTCATGGTAAGAAAAATGTACTACAATTTTTCAGTGCTTTTGCATTATCGGGGGTTATCAGGGGGAAACCGTTTTTGTCTGAGTCTGGAAATGCTTAGTAACGAAATATCCTACCTTATATAATTTTGGCGCGTATCTTTGTGTGTGTGTGTGGATGTCAGTTTCGAGGCCCGATTTGAGCGCCTTCCCGTGCCCAAAACGCCCCAATTCTTCGTCACCAGGGGAATCGACCCTTCTGTTTCCGATGGCGTTCTTAGAATTACGATAAAATACAAGTTTACAAAGTTAAAGCCGGTTTTATTCATTTTTGGGGTCCCTGAAGGCTAATTTGCATCATAATATGAAAAATAGAAATTTCCTCATTCTTGCAAGTTGCGCTCGCGTGTGTGGTCGGTTCAGGGGGGGCGAAGGACCCAAGCTATCGGAAAGTCAATTTCTCATGCAAGGGCCGCATTCCAGCGCCCAAGGCCCGCGAAGCGGGTTTTGGGCGCTGGTTTTATATGTTTTGATAAGACTTTTTTCGGAAGATTTCACTGTATTTTTAAGGCAAGAATTATCTAAAGCACTTAAAAATCTTCACAATCCGAACTTTTGGTCAAAAATCTGTGATTTTTGGTCGAAAACCCACTCTTGTGCAATTCTTTGAAGCAAATGTGTAAAGTTTTTGCATTTAAGAATAATCAAAATAACTTAAAAACGCAACCTGAATGCTTTTAACTTTCAATTCCAGTTCTGGACGCTAACCATCACGGGCTCCCTTCTCAGCTACCTCTCCTGCGTCGGTTTTGCTCAATTCTGTGGACCCTGTGCTCGCATGCCAATAAATCCAAACAGTCGCAGCTGAAGACGAAGCGGATCTTGTTTTCACTTGTCGCACAGGTACCGTAATATTTTGTTTTCCAAATTTATGATCTACAGGGTGTCCCAAAAAAACCCCCTCGGCAATTGGCCGTCTTCCATCCAATCAGGACCAAATTTTTACCAGTGATGGGGACCCATAAAAAGTATGCCCAGCCGAATTTTCTAAGCAAAATATTGTAAAACAAAGCAGATATATAAAAATTAAGGTTTATTTGGCCGATTTCACTAGGATTTTGACGGATTTCGGCCTCGAATGTTTAGCAAAAATGAAGAGGGCACTCTTTTCTACCTGTAGAAATTTTTTGATTTACGAAAATTACGTTTAAATTGGAGCTTTTGATCACTTTTTATTATCGAAATTGCCAGAAACTGACCGAGAAATGACCATTTTTTTTGAAAATTACTCAAAATCGGCATGCGAATTGCGAAAACATAGCCAAAAACGAGTACCAGCGTTTTCCAAAAATCAGTTTTTTAGCGATAACTTTTTAGTTTTACAATATTTTGCTTAGAAAATTTGGCTGCACATAGTTTTTATGGGTCCCCATCACTGGTAAAAATTTGGTCCCGATCCGATAGAAGACGGCCAAATGCCGAGGGGGTTTTTTTTGGACACCCTGTATTTATGCACACTTACCGTTTTCCCGCTCAGATTTCCCCTACACTTCTCTGTTATTCGACTGCCGGCTCGTGGATTTGTTTGTCGATCGGTTTTGATTTTGTCACACCTTACAATGGCGGTAGATTATAATTCTAAGGTACTTTTTAGCATATCTTTTAGTGCTAAGCGATATGAGCTGCTTGCTCTTTGGATTTCACAACCCACTGAGCGTCGTTTTTGCCCTGACACTTAATGGGGCATATCGAGAATATCTTTTGTCGCCTTTTGTGCTTGGTAAGTTGATCGTTCTCTTTCTCTGGTTCGCTTTCTCTCTCTCTCTCTGTCTCTCTCTATCTCTATCGCTCTCTCATCTCTCTCACTCTCGCTCTCTCGCTCTCTCGCTCCCTCGATCTCATTCTCTCTCCCTCCCTCCTTCCTCCTCTCTCACCTTCTCTCCCTCTCTCTCACTCAATCACTCACTCGCTCGCTCTCTCTCGCTAGCTCTCTCTCGCGCTCTCGCTCTCATTCACTCTCCCTCTGTCCCTCCCTCGTTCTCTCTCTCTCTATCTCGCACTCTCTCACCGTTTTTCTCTCGCTGTCTCGCTCCTTTTCACAAGTTTCCTTTCAGCTGCCGACACGAAACGAGTAATGGCAGAGCGCCGTAGTAAAAGCCTCTCCACTGTCGTCCAGCCTTATAATGCAGCTCTCAACGGTCGATCCTCACTGCGACCTTTCGAACTTCGTCGCATGACCCTTAGATAAAAACCGCCCAAGCACCTGAAAACGCTATGTAGACCTACTTGCAGAATACAAACTCCACCTGCTCCCCGAGGAAAAAAATATGGTTGTTTGCCACACGGTAAAGCTCAAGCGCCACTGATGAAATTTGTATACGATAGGGCCGGAAAAAAGAATACAAAACAGTTACAGACGAAGGAGACGGTATAAAATTTTTGCCTCAATTGGTATTTGTCAGGACTACCCGTTATAGCCCCCGACATCCTTAAAGGGGCTACGAAATGGCAAAAATTCAGTGACGCCCGAAAAGCGGGGCCCTGTACGTCGGAGGCCTCTGTACACCCAAGAGCCCGGGAAACTCGGAAATTTGAAATTGCCTGTTGTCACCTCGAAATCACGTTCTCGGCTGTTTCTGGACCAAATTTGATGCTTAAAACACCAAAGCTATTTAAAATCAAGTGAGGATTTCAAAAATAGGCTCAGAATGCGCAAATTATAGTGTTTTCACAAAGAAACCGGGCAAAAACAGTTTAGCGCAAAAATCGAAAGAGCGAGTGCTCTGGTCCCGCAGCGCCCGCTGGCAATTTGCCAGAAATCAAAGAGGCCGCCCAAAAGGGCTTTGATTTGGCATTTCGGAGCCCCTTTAAGCTCGATAGCGAAAATCCCGACATCTTCTTGACGCTAGCCTAATGTTTGAAACAGTTTATTTTTGCATGTCCAAGTTATGGTTGTCGATACGTTGGCCGTCGGGATTTTAGCTGTTGAGTTTTTGATTTCGGGATTTTGGCTGTCAGGATCTGGTCTAGTCAGTGAATCCTGGCAAATAGCCAGATACGGCCGAAACGCGACCTCGCAAGTTCCTTGGCCTTCGGACGACGTGAAAAAGCGCCTAGACATAAATTCTAGTGCAATTTCCGGAACCCTCCGTTGTTTTTGATGATGTTTTGATTAGCACGCATCGGTGCTCTCTCTCTCACTCTCTCTCTCTCTCATTTCTGACCCTCTCTTCTGACTCTCTCCCTCTTTCTCTATATCTCTCTGAGTCGCTCGCTCTTCTGACTCTCTCTCTCTCTCTCTCTCTCTCTCTCTCTCTCTCTCTCTCTCTCTCTCTCTCTCTCTCTCTCTCTCTCTCTCTCTCTCTCTCTCTCTCTCTCTCTCTCTCTCTCTCTCTCTCTCTCCCTCTCTCTGTTTCTCTCTCTCTCTCTCTCTTTCTCTCTCTCTCTCTCTCCCTCACTCGTTCTCTCTCTAATTGGCCAGGGGTCGATACTCGATACCTAGCCTGTAAATAAATAGGCCGGATTCCGATCTCAACCGCCTGAATGAAGCCCCGTTTTGATGGTTTGGCACGTCTACCGGCCGGCTGGATTCCGTTTTGAAACTAATCACGCAGGGCCCGCCGGCGGTACCGGTTGAAGTGGCAGGTGTTTTCTACCGGCTTGTTCTTTACCGAAACCATAAAGCCTTCACTTCTTCGGCGTCTTTCTGTGCCTACTCCCTCGATATTTCGATGAATGAACGGCAGTTTGATCGATATCTTCGAAAACCCTTACTTTGATGTTATTACCATCTATAAAATTGCTGGTCGGTGATGGGCTTGGAGCTTTAAAGGGGCTAGAAAGCCAAAGTTTGACTGTTAACAGGACCAAAAAACAGAAACCTATGGATGCAAAAAGTTATCTATTGCCTAAACGTAGCTGTAATTAGTTTAGCTGCATAAAAACGCAAAATATTGAAGGAAAACAAGAACATTTTAACGGGGAATCGATTCGGGGAAAAATTGGCAGAACATACATGTCGTAATGCTACGGAAATGAAAATCTAGTTTTTTAGGAGAATTCATGGTTATTTGAAAAGGAAAAATGCCGAAAGCGTGGCCAAAAAATCTATTTTTTTTGTATTGTTTGCAATAAAAATTTTCATGTTTGAAATCCAGGATGGCGAAGTTCAGTTTGGAAACGCTTACCTATGATATTAAAAATTGTAACAAAAAGGCTGGTCTGTGGAAAAAGATTTCTTACGAAAATACGACACTAATCAGCCACCCTCGCCAGGCAGCCTTTCTTATTTTTTTTAGGTCCAATCGTGTTCATCATCAACCTGGCCGGTATCATCATCGTGTACCGTAAGACACCGCCCGAGATGCAGGACTACTCTTTTTGCCTCATGTGTCATTTGGTAATTCTTGCCGAATTTTTAGCAAATGGCTGTCCTCAGGCAAAATAAATTAATACTATTGAAAGTAAGTATCATGACGTATCATTAAAGGGGCTCCGAACTGCCAAATCAAAGCGCTTTTGGGAGGCCTCTTTGATTTCTGGCAAATTGCCAGCGGGCGCTGCGGGACGAGAGCCCTCACTCTTTCGATTTTTGCGCGAAGTTGTTTTGCCCGGTTTCTTTGTGAAAACACTATAATTTGCACATTCTGAGCCCATTTTTGAAATCCTCACTCAATTTGGAATAGTTTTGGTGTTTTAATCATCAAATTTGGCCCCCAGAAACAGCCAAGAACGTGATCAGGAGGTGACAACAGGCAATTTCAAATTTGCGAGCTTCCCGCGCCCCTAGGTGTACAGAGGCCTCCGACGTCCAGGCCTCCGATTTTCGGGCCGTCACTCAATTTTTGGCATTTCGTAGCCCCTTTAAGTAGAATAAAGTTATGTGGTATAATCCAGGTGATCGGTCTGCTTCACGAGACGGTATGGACAATGTTGCTGTGCCCTCGAATGTACACGCCATATATCATGGGATCAGCCCACGGACTGCTAACCAACCTTTTTCACCTCGATATTCATATACAGGTTCGGATTATAATAAACATATTGAAATACCTACCTAAATAATGCCTAAATCGGCCTCAATATCACTCGATTTTCAGCAATCTATCGGGCTGTTTCTCGTCCAAGCTCATACTTGCACCGTGGCGCATCTCATCATATTTCGCGCAAACTCGGTGTTACCGTACGAATCTCCCTGGAAATTGGAGAAGGCCCAGGTGATTCTCATACTTTAATTTTTATTCCAAACCAGGCTTGAAAAGCCGCTTCGCGACTTTTCAACCCTGGCCCCGTCTTGGACCCCATACTATCCTGCCCTTTACATAATTGTCCTTCATTCAGCAGACAAAAAAAAATGAAAAACAACCCTTTCTGCTTCTTTATATAGGCGACCGCCCACTTCCGGTTTATGCTAATTACTCCTAACAAAGAGGTTTTTACAAAAACTTAAATTTAATAGTGAAAATGGCTAATTTTTCAAAATCTGATATGTGTGCAGTCATCCCTAGACCATTACGCACCTAATGACGTATCATACGTAGCCTAATACCCGTCCCTTCTTGAGATATCCTCCGGACAGACAGGCGGAAGTGGATGCAAGTGGCACACACACACACACACACACACACACACACACACACACACACACACACACACACACACACACACACACACACACACACACACACACACACACACACACACACACACACACACACACACACACACACACACACACACACACACACACACACACACACACACACACACACACACACACACACACACACACACACACACACACACACACACACACACACACACACACACACACACACACACACACACACACACACACACACACACACACACACACACACACACACACACACACACACACACACACACACACACACACACACACACACACACACACACACACACACACACACACACACACACACACACACACACACACACACACACACACACACACACACACACACACACACACACACACACACACACACACACACACACACACACACACACACACACACACACACACACACACACACACACACACACACACACACACACACACACACACACACACACACACACACACACACACACACACACACACACACACACACACACACACACACACACACACACACACACACACACACACACACACACACACACACACACACACACACACACACACACACACACACACACACACACACACACACACACACACACACACACACACACACACACACACACACACACACACACACACACACTATTTTTTTATATATAGTAGGATAAAGCAAAAAATTCAGTCTCATACTCGAAAATACTTAATTCTCAAGGTAATCTTTTTAGTTAAATCGTTTCTTCGCGGTAATGTACCTCCTCAACGTGATGCCAAATTTCATCGTCCAATTCTTCGTGGCCTGGGGCAATGATGGGATGGCCGAGGGGCATGCTTTTGTTCTGGTTAGTAAACTTAAATTGTTGGTCCCTTGAAAATGAATTTCTCCGGAAACTCGACTGAAAATACCGAAAGCCAAAATGCCGACGTCTTAACGGCGGAGGAATCGAAATATCGAGAGTTAAAATACCGACAGTTTTGCGGCATGCTACTTAAAATGCCGACAAGCTCTAAAAATGCCGACGGCCGCAATGTCGGTATTGAAAAATCTATATTCATCTTCCATGGTTTACATGTCGGCATTTTAGGTCACCAGGCGCAGAACTGTCGGTATTTTACCTCTCGATATTTGGATACCCCGACCGTTGAACTGTCGGGATTTTGGCTTTCGGCACTTTAGCTACCGGGATTTTCGTTGAGGATTTTGTCTCGCCCAGATCGCATTTGTCGGTATTTTAGCCATAGCTATTCATCTCCCCTTTAAATTACCCTGCAGGCTCACCCCGAATACGCGAGTCTCCAGAAATACGCCGATCGTATCTACATGCAAAACGGAGGTTGGGGATACCTACAGGTGATTTTTGCGTAGTTTCCGGAATTACTTTTAAAGGGATGCCCAACCTTTCCGAAGCTCAAAAAAGCAAAAAACATGCCACGGGCGGGCGTTGAACCCGGGACCCCGTTTTGTAGACCTGGATGCTATCCATTAGGCCATAGTGGCAAGCCACTGGGTGGGATGGGGACGCCACAACTGGGAAAGGGTCCGAATTTGGTGCGGCGATGGCCCCCCCCCTCCTCATTGCCGCACGAAGTTCTCGCGTCAGTGATATTGCCCGGAATACATAACTATATATTTGCCGCCAAAACCTTGGGTATCCCTTTAAGTACGGCATCCTGACAATAAATGGCTGGTGGATCTCGGTGTGTTCGATCGCCGGCTTCGGCACCATGTTTTTCGCTCTTTTTCGCCATCAGACGTCCACCATGGCCTCTACCGTAAATGTCTCTCGCATTATGATCGCGTTATTTATACAGGTATTTTCGAAAAAAATTTTCTAGCTGACATTTTTCGAAAAAATCCAGTTGCAAGAAATTTTGAAAAACTTAGAATTTTTTTGTTAGTCCAATTTTTTGGATATTTGAAACTTCCTGAAGTTAAATCACGTTGTAAAACTAAAACTGTGTATATCAATTTCTAGGTGTACCCGACCATCGCCTGCTACTCGACGTGGGGCTGTTGGATGGCGATGTCGATAATCTTGGAAATTCAGCTGCCCAGCACTGGTGGTAGGGACCTTTCTATGAAATTAAAGCCGTGACTAAAAAAACTACAAATTAAATTTATTAGATTTAGACTTAATTGAATATTAAATATATTGATTCATGTAATTTATTCTTTTAATTAAAAAATTGAGCATGAACTTAAGTTTAATAAATGGATCGTTATCAGAATGCCCATTATTGAAATCACGAAAATTTTTATTTAGCATTTAAGGAAAGGGTCAAGGCATTCCTATAGAATACCGCGGCGACACGCCACACGCACGCAGCGAAATCCGCAGAGGACCCCAAAGCGACGACTTGTCAATCTCCTTGAAAATTCTTTTCAGTGCTAAACGACCTGGCGTGCCTCCTCTTCGGCTTTCACAACCCGTTCAGCGTGTTTTTTGCCCTGATCTTGAACAACGTCTATAGGGAGTCGCTGATTGGCCCCTTCAGATTAGGCGGGTCTCACAGCCAGAAATCCAAATTTCGACCAAATTACCGTAATCTTTCTCATTTAGGCATCCCGTTCCTAAAATCCCGTCTTTTCGGGATCACCTCCGATCTGCCGACCCACATCCCCATGGCAATTCTGAACAATTCGCAAGGATCCGATATTTCTCAAGATGGAGGGCAGCCTCCAGTGGAGATTCGACAGCCAAGAAGCCTTCTAGCAATTTTATTGAGTTTTGTTAGGAGATAAATACATTTTAATAGATCCAAAAAAAAATTACAACAAAAGAACCTCTCATTAATGCATTGAGTTTTAGCCATTTTAATACCCCTTCGGTCGCTCCCTCTCTCCCTCTCCACTCGCCCCCCACCTGGGCCACAGACGGGACTGAAAGTCACACACTGACAATTCAGAGTATCGCTTCCGGCCTCTGGCTATGATCAATTGTTTAGTAAATGTTCTTATCGGCTTAATCTCCGATACGTATACTAATTGTATACCAAGAGATTAACATATTTTTGGAAATGGTTCGGTTAGCAGAAGCTTGCTTCTCGCCGAACAGCGTCGTCCCGGCATTGCACTTGCCGTCGGGAGCGGCGCACCCCCCAATCGGGGTATAAAATTCAAAAAGTTAGAAAACGGATTACGACCTTGACGGTAATTAGTACAGTTAGTTTTGATAAGAGTGTAACTAGACGTTTTAGGCGTGAAATGCGGAAAATGACGTCAGCTAGCTGGCAGAGTCTATTTTGCATTTTCAACCCTGAAAAGATTGTCCGTCGAGAGGACAATCCGAAATCGATGCTGGATGGCCTCGAAGTGGCGCACACCTCTCAAGAGGAGCAACTGGGTGGCTGGCGCGTGCCCCATCGGATTACCGTAACCCTAGGCTCCGCCCACTGCAATGTCTGCATCCACACCGGCCGCTGGATGGCTGTTCACTTTGCATATGGCGCTGGAAATGGCTTTCTAAATTCACGGTTCTCCGTGAATTGTATTTAAAGTTTCCTTTGATCTAAGCTAATCTTTTTTTGGTTACCGTATTTTATTTAGAACTTCAGCCAGCGTGGGTGCCTCGTGTCTATTCAATCTAAAATGCCGCATAATACCGAAATTGATAATCCCGACAACTAAAATATCGACAGCCGACGACCCGGGATTAGAAAGGCCGATAGCTAAAATCCCGACAACCAAAATCCCGACAGCCAAGAGTCGACACCTAAATCTGGAATTGCAAATGTTGAATTTCGGCATAGGATAAAAATAGCCAACCAGTCTCATCTAGCTCGCTGCATGTCGGGATTATGGTTGTCGTTATTTTTAATCTCGCCGTTTTGGTTGTCGGCATTTTAAAAGTTGGGCCTATAGCCCGAAATCATTCTTAACCGTTTTCAATATTTTCTGTAAATCTAGCGTGGTTAACTAGTGAAATTTTACCTATAGATTATTTTTAGAAGACTTCCAAAAAAATGTCAGAAGATTTCACAACTGAAGTGAGCCCGGCCTCATCGTCCAGCTCGACGCCCAGCTCTCATTCTCCAGCTGGGTCTCTCAGCTTTTCGATTGAGAGGATATTAGCTTGGCCGACGAGGAAGAGGAGTACGGTAGGTAAAAACTAAGAAAATTCACGACTTCCAGAGTAAATCAATAAAATTCCGACTTGCTAAGGTTCTACGTTTAAGTTGTAGCTTGTGGTTTATGTTTTTTCTCCTGTAGTGTAAATCAAATTTTCAGAATCTGCCCCAAAGATCGTCCGTTGAAGCGATAAACTGTCCACATTGCGACAAGGTTTTCACCGCGCAGTATAATTTGGCTCGACACCTGCCCGTGCATACTGGAGAGCGGCCATTTCTGTGCAAGGTATGTACACCAATATTACTAAAACGTACGGAATGTGCAAAAAATGGCACGGTGAAATCGGCTATTCCCTATTTCTAAATGACAGAGCCAACCTTTCGTAATATTCTGCTCTACGGTATGACTCTAGTTTCCCCCCCCCCCCCCGAGCCCTAAGTTTTCAGTCATACGCCGATTAATGCGCGGAGTATCTCAAAATGTTCGCCGTGGTCGAATTGCAATAAAAAAAATTGTTTTCTTGCGGCAAAAATTGCTAGAAATTTTTTTACAAGATTTTGAAAGTTGAAAAGATTAAGCCGCTATGCTTCAATGTACCAGGAGTCTAAATCTCAAATATTTTTATTTTCCGCTATCTTTTTCGACTCAAATGCATTGTAGGCTTATTCTACAGAGCAACAGCTACATATTGGTACCATTGACAGCTCTGAACGTCAAAAGATAGCCGAGATACGAAAACTCACTTTGGAACAGCAAAAACTAACTAAAGAAAACCCAGGCTTATGATTGTTATAAAAATTTTTCTAACAATTTTTGATGTAAGGAAACACTTTTTTTATAGTAATTCGACCACGGCGAACATTTTGAGATACTCGGCGCATTAATAGGACGTATGGATGAAAAGTTGTGGCTGGGGGGGTAAGCTAGAGTCTAGCCCTGCTCTACTGATCTTTTTCTAAGTTTCTCCTCAGGTTATTCTGTCATCTTCACAATAGCGAAAAAGAAAACTTATTTACAGAATTGGTTACTGCGCTTTGCTTTTTCCCTTTTTAAACGAATTTTTGCGAGTCAGATTTGTGGCAAAACCTTCCGTCAAGCCTCCACGCTATGCAGACACAAAATTATCCACACCCATCTCCGGCCGCATACTGTAAGTTTTCACATTTTCGAGAATTTACTAAAAATCATTATACTCCTATAGCTTGGATTTTATGCAACATTTGGTTTTACTTTTCATTTTTATAGTGTAAAGAATGCGGAAAGTCCTTCAATCGATCTTCTACTCTCAATACACATATGCGGATTCATAACGGTGAGTGTTAGCTCTCGCTCTCTCTCTCCTCTCTCTCTCTCTCTCTCTCGCTCTCTCTCTATCTCTCTCGCTCCCACTCTCTATCTCTCACTCCTCCTCTCTCGCTTTCTCTCTCTCTCTCTCTCTCTCTCTCTCTCTCTCTCTCTTTCTAATTTTCATCGATTAATTCTAGGACTTAAACCGTACATCTGCGAAGTATGCGGAAAGGGCTTCCACCAGAACGGAAATTACAAAAACCACAAACTGACGCATTCCGTGGAAAAACGCTACAAGTGTCATTTGTGCAATAAGGTAATTTTAAAGATGCCTACTTTTTACCTGTATTAATTTAATTCTACCCTGATTATAACTCTCATTTATCTAGTGAAAATCGACCATAATTTTCTAGAGCGTTACTGGCATTGCCTCTTTAATAACTACGACACGTTCCAAATTCCCCAATTTCCAGGCATTCCACCAGTCGTACAACCTCGCTTTCCACATGCACACCCACGAGGACCGGAAGCCGTTCGAGTGCCCGGAGTGTGGGAGGGGATTTTGCCGGAATTTTGACCTGAAGAAGCATCTCCGTCGGATTCATCCTGGCCGCAAGGTTTCGGGTTCTTGATTTTATTGGTATTTCTTGGTATTTTCGTGGAATAAACGGTTTGTTCAGGTAGTACTGTATCTGAAGCGCAAAAACAAAAAAAAAACATAAAGTACAGGAATTTTTTTTCATATTTTCGGAGAATAAATGGTGTAGTAATTTACACAAAAAATCATAAAAAGTTGTGGCTTGTAGCCATAGGTCATCAAAAACGTGTAGTGGGTAATTTTCGTACTTTTATCTATATTTTTCTCTGCCTTTTGCCTATTAAAATTTGTCTATTCCGCTTAACCTATGTGGAGGGTACCTTATCGAAATTCTTTGTTTAGTGTAGCTTTGTAGTTTTAAGTTTCCACTTTTGCGACCCAGGCATCAATTTTTCCATTCCGCTCCGAGCCTATGTACAAGCGTATTCTCTCGGAATGCTCAGTTTGAAACTGAATTGGCCAAAATTCAAAAATCGTTTGAAGCTAATGAAAAAAATTGAGAAAAATCCCTGAAACAATTCGCCGCTTTATTTTACGCCTTCGTGCCCCCTGTATGCACTGTTGTTAAATGTTTGTCTACAGTATGACGCCAGGTGGCCGATTCGAAAATTCGGAAACCGGGGGTCGACCGGAGCCGGGGCAGGCGGGTGGCGGTGAGCCGGGCAACTGGTGGGATAATCCTATTCACACCTTTTACTCTACTCTCTCCCTCTCTCTCCCTCTCTCCTCTCTCTCTTCTCTCTCTCTCTCTCTCTTCCTTCAACCCCGAAAAGGTCATGGAGTCACTCGCCCGCGCCTCGGGGGCTACCGTCTCACCCACCAACACTTGATTATTCCGGAGAGAGAGAGAGAGAGAGAGAGAGAAAGAGACAGTGAGATAATGGACCCTCTTGGTGCCAGACGATCCTCCCGGCCGCCCTTCACAAAAGTTTAGCCGATTAGCGTCGCCTTCCCTCCTAGGGTGGCCATTTGGCACTTGAATTTGGGCATGAATAAAACTTTTCTAGGGTCTAGATGATCGCCACCAAAGACTAAAGTTGATTCCGAGAGTTTCGGGGGCTAAAGCTTGGTTTTAAAGGGACTAGGAACCCATGATTCTAGCATGATTTGCCAGACAAGTTCCTCAATTCTATAAAAAAATTCGGTGTTGAATTTTTTGAATTGAGTTGAATTTGAATTTGATACTCGTTTTTTTAATTCAAAAGAATTTGAATCTCAATTCTATAAAAAACACTCAAATCGGTAAAAAAAATTCGCGCCTCTCAATTCTAAAAAAAACCTGAATTCATGGCTGGGGAAGATTTCCAGCGAGACCCTATTTTTCTCATCAATTCAAAATTAGAGTAGCGCAATCGCGTAGCGTTTTTTACGCTTAAAAGGGAAAATGAATACATTTGAAGTTGAAAAATTATTTCGAGGACAATTCAAGTCTGTAACTAAGAATATGTTTCCAGTCTGTTTTTAATCTGTGTAGTTTAGAAAATTGGCCCCTGAATAACCGTTAAAAAATTGAAAGTTTGGAACATAAAATGATGCAGTTATCATAAGCCAAATAGTTTCCTTTCGCTCAAAAAACGGTGCTTCAAAATCTACTAACCTCTTGGTAACGAGCCAAAAAGGCGCTGAAAAGACAGCCGTAGCGTTCTCGCCCCAAAACCACAGTTCCTTGAGCCTATTGTCAAGAAAGTTTTTCCTATCCTAAAAAGAACGGGTAGACGCGTGGAGGAGCATATAATGTGCACAGTTGGGGCGGAATGGTGTTCGGGTGAAATGGTGCGTGGCTGTTAGCTATTCCATTCGGGACCCCGTTCTGGCGATTCTTTACTGCCCTCTTCTTCTTCCGTGTAGAATGGGACAGAACGGCGCCTTTCCGTACCGTACACCTGGGCAAGTGTAAAAGTTTTTGGAGGTTCTTTTCTATTGTTTTGTTCACCACATTTTGGGGTGTGCGCCGCTCCCGACGGCAAGTGCAATGCCGGGACGACGCTGTTCGGCGAGAAGCAAGCTTCTGCTAACCGAACCATTTCCAAAAATATGTTAATCTCTTGGTATACAATTAGTATACGTATCGGAGATTAAGCCGATAAGAACATTTACTAAACAATTGATCATAGCCAGAGGCCAGAAGCGATATTTTGGGAGGGAACGCAGAGGTTATCAGGAATGATAGTGGGCCAGGTGGGTGGCGGGGAGGGGGCTTGTAGGGAGCGATCAGAGGGACATTGTATCCAGGCACAAATATGAGGCTGGTTTCTTTCGAACTACCTTTGAAGATCGAGAGAGAGGCAGAGAGAAGGAGAAAACGAGCGATAGAGAGATAGAGAAAGAGAGAGAGAGAGAGAGAGAGAGAGAGAGCGAAAGAAACAACGAGTAACAAAGTACAGACAAAAAGCTGGCAGACCTCCTAACCCAGCACGTGCCCTACTAATCACAGAACATTTGCTGCGCCCGGCTGCCTATGGATGACAAGATAAGACACTTCTAAATTTGGGATGAATCATCGCGACTTGGCAATAATAAAACCAAATTCACGAATAGAGTTCTGCGACAAGTGTCCCGAAAATGTGTCATCAAGGCATTATCAGGATAAAGAGGAGTATATAAAGGAATCTGAAGGGTAGTTGCTCAGTATTGTGGATTCCGATGCTATGAGAGCGCCAGAGGTGATGGAAATCGACCCGGCGACACCGGGGCAAGTATTCGGAATTCATTAAAGCATCCAATAACTGCCCTGCTGTCAAGTTCTTGGGTTACTTTAATTGGAAATTTTATTGAATTTCTTCACGATGCCAACGCAGGGTTTTTTCTAAAAATCTTGGCGAAATTTTTCGCCATACCCTCATCATTTATATTTTGAAGGCTCGGTCACGTTTCAAACGCTTTAAAATCTAAAAAAACAAGGGATAAAACTTATTGAAATTTCCGTTTACTTTAAATGGCTTTCGATATTTTTTGAATTTTCTCGGAATTTTTGCCGACTTCCGGTTTTTGGAGGTATCACCGTACTTTGAATCTGCTTCGAAACGGTCGTTTGACTTACAAACATCGAACGACTCGGAAACCGAGAACAACCTCAAAATTCAAATTCCCGCCCGATCTACTTCGACCCCTGGCCCTCTTATCTCGACAATTGCATAGCCGGGACCACTTTTCCTACCGAGAACAACAAGAATCCGCCGAAATTTGATGCCTCATATGCATATATCTCGTCGATTAGTCACCAAACACTATGATCTACACCGAAATTCCGGGAGGGCGAGTCATGGCATTCGGGGTAGCACCCAGTCAGTACTACCAATCGGATGGAGTCGATGGAGGAGAAACGGTAGACTTTCTATTCGCTTGCGTTATTTGCAAACTTCGAATGCGGAATTATGTGAATTACTGCGTTGACTTTCCTCGAGCTTCTGAACCAAAATGATGAATCTTGAAGGGACCGGCAGGGCACTGGTATAGCGTATTTTGCGATAGTTTCCAACGGAATTTGGGAACTGCCGCGACGCGGCACATTGCGCGACTTTTCCAACGTAAAAGGGGGCACGCGCGTTGCTTGGATGCTTACGGAAATACAGCCGACAAGCGCTTAATTATAAATTAGTTGGTTTCCATTTTCAGTGAGGCCCAAGATGCAGCCACCCAGACCCCCGATCTGCTGGAGTTTCCGCAACCAATTCAACGGGCTGCTTCCTCCTCATCAACGAGCACCTTGATGAGGGAAAGTACGGAACAGTGAGTTTTTCGACATGGTTAAAAATTCCTTAGTGACGAACATAGAACCTATAGACCTTGGGCAAAGTCATTGCATGGCAGATAGCCAGATACCAAATTTGCCTATTGGTTCTCGGCTCCCCGTCTTCTACAGGCGTGTAAAGATTTAAAAAATCTGCTGTTTTGCCCTGACCTTTTACCTCAGCTTTTTGCATGTTTCTACCCTGCTGATAACCTAACAAATTTCAGGGAACGAGGAGCTATTCCTACTAACAACGTGTCGCAAGCAGCATCTCGGATGCAGCCCGTGACGATCGCGTCTGTGAACCGAAAACACGGGTAAGGTACCACTTCCAGAGGTAACGTTGTTAAGAACTACTGAGAGCAGATTTGAGACTCCCTTGCATACATATAATTTTGCACGCCTGAAGATTTTCCAGACTTGGCTCCGACGATGCGCCGGACTCTGCATATAGCGAGACACGTGCCGACTGGATGGACTTCCGTGCGGACTAAAGAAGCGCACTTCCAAAAAGAATACTAGGGACCACAGATAGACTCAAAGCTTGGTACAATTTTTGCCTAGTACAACAAATAAACGATGAAGTTCTGAATTTGCAATAAAATACACACTTCACTATACAATACACTGACTTCCCGAATTTTTGCATTGGAGTCGCGGCTGTGCGGCTGCGTTGCCCCTTTTCAGGACTAATTAGTGTTTTTTCAAGGCTACTCTCTCTCTCTCATTCTCTCTCTCTCATGCTCTCTCTCTCTTTTTCTGTCTCTCTGTCTCTCTGTCTCTCTGTCTCTTCCTCTCTTTCGCTGTCTCGCCCTCTCTCTCTAGTTCTCTATCACTCTCTCGGTCTCTCTCTCTCTCTCTCTCTCTCTCTCTCTCTCTCTCTTTCTCTCTCTCTGGCTCTCTTACTCGCTCTCTCTCTCTGGTTCTCGCTCACTCCTGCTCGCTCTCTCTTTCCTTCTGTTCGTCCATCTCCCACTCTCTCGCTCTCGCACTCACGCTCTCTCTCTCTCTCTCTCTCTCTCGGCCCTATCGTATGTGTGTCTCATTTGACAAAACCTTGCAAAAACCCATTTATTCTCTCCTCCCAAACACGATTTAGTGTTTGTTGAAGCGAGCCGGGCAAGGGCAGTAGTTGGCATCGCCTCCAGGATGTCCAGGGCCTCCAGGAGCACCAGGGTGTCCATCAGCTCCAGGGGCTCCGGGAGCTCCAGGCTTTCCACTGTCTCCATTGTGTCCAGGTTGGCCAGGGGCTCCAGGGGCTCCATCATCTCCCGGCTGTCCATCGCTGCCAGGCTGTCCAGGAGCACCAGGTGGTCCCTGAGGTCCAGCGGTTCCTCGGACTCCATGTTCTCCAGAAGATCCGGGTCCACCGTCGGGTCCGGGCTCTCCGGGCTGTCCATCATCTCCAGGCTGTCCGGGCTGACCGGGCTCCCCGGGCTGCGAGTCCTCTCCGCGACGTCCAGGTTCCCCGGGCTCTCCGTGCTCCCCGGGGAATCCGGGAGCACCAGGGGGTCCGACGGGTCCAGGTGGGCATGAGCGGCAGCCGGTCTGGAATTGTACGGTTTTGAAGGTAATCGTAATCGTAATCGTGAAAATGATTGAATGACGCTGATTATAATGCTGAAAAAGTTGATTGTGCCAGAACACCGATTTTTTGTACGGAAAAATCCGATTATGTCGAAAATGCCGGTTTTTAATTTCGAAAGGTATTGACGATGTCGAAAATAATACCAGCTGTTAATAGCGTAAACGCCCTTTTCTAATACAGCTAATTTTTAGTTTTTAGGGGTTCAAAGGTCTCAAATGATAATTTTAATATGCCAATTTTAAAGGAGGCGGACAAAGTTTGATGCGGATTTTTTAGCTATGAATTTCTTGACTTATGGCGAAGCCTTGCCGGTCCCTTTAAGTCCAATATTTTCGGATTTCCCCCAATTTTTGATGCTGAACGTTTCCGGAAGCAAAAATCAGTTTCAAAATCGCTAGCCGGCTCGAAACATGGCCTGCGCAAATACAGATCTAAAAACGTCAAAAAGAGCACTCGGCGCTGGATTTTGTGATTTTTCTTGAGTAAATATGAAGCTGGAGTTTTTGAAAAGCCATCGAGTTTTTTGGCGTTTTTAGTAGTACGGCTAGTACAAAATTTTGTGCAAAATAGCGTAGATTTACGCTCCTAATTTGCATATTATTGCCCAAAAAAACACGAAAAAGCCAACCGGCTTGGGCCAATTGCGATAGGCAGATAAACTACGGTACTTTGCGCTTTAACTAGCCTATTTCAAGCCAAAATAAAATTGGAACAAAGCTACGATAATTATTTGCGTCCTAATTCGCATATTAAAGGCAAAAAACGGCTTTATGGAAGCTGAACGACTCCCTGATGTTCTGATCAAATTTCTGCGAAAAAATTACGATATTTGCCGCCCTAATTTGCTTCTTCTCTCAACACATTCCATAAACCCAAAAAATCACGAGAAAAACCCACCGTCTCAGGGATATGAGGATGATCATCGCGTCCGGGAAGTCCGGGAACTCCCTTGGGTCCGGGGGTACCGGGGGTTCCGTGTTCTCCATTGATTCCGGGCTCTCCGGGAGGTCCGGCCGGGCAACGGTTGAACGAGTCACACTGGCACTGCTGGTTTCCGTATGCCTGACGGGCCACACGGGCACGTCCAACGCGAGACGCCTGCAGCTTGGCCCAGACGCCCTGCTCGCTGACGCGGAACTTGTCCATGCGCACGGCCACGGTGCTGCGGATCTCGTCCACCTGGAATTAAGGTGATTATACTGGAATTTCTGCTTTTTTTCAGTTCTTGCTCGTTTTCTCTCTCTCTCTCTCTCTCTCTCTCTCTCAGTTTCTCTTTCTCAATGTCGTTCACGCTCTCTCTCCCTGTCTCTCTCTCGCCCTCTCTCACCTGATTCATCAGATGGGGAACGTAGAAGAGGCAGACAAGGATGGCCAAAGCAGACCCGGCCGATGAGGCCCACGCGAATCCCGACATTTTGGACGAGTCGACTTCTGAAACTAAATTTTAATTGATTTTTGAGTCATTTAGTTTTAAGCGTAACGGTTTAGTTTTATTATCTAAGTGTCAAAAATATTTTATAGATTAAATTCCGTTTTAAAACTAAAAAGCCAGAGTTTTTGGGATTTAAGGGGACCAGGAAGCGTGAATTTGCAAGAATTTGCAATATTCCGGATGAACGGCTATTTTATAGCTTTAAATTCTATCATTAAAAGAACTAAACTATATAATAAAAATATACCCACCTGGCTTTGAGCAGAAAGTGCGAATTGTTGTCCTCTAACTCATCCCCTGCCCTTTTATACTCAATTTCCCTCCGGCTTTCAGATAACTTTTTACCGGCTAGCTCGAGTCCGAGCTGGTCGGGCTAGTGGAACGAGAGTGGGGAGGAGAGAGAGAGAGAGAGAGAGAGAGAGAGAGAGAGAGAGAGAGAGAGAGAGAGAGAGAGAGAGAGAGAGAAAGACGTGCGAGGAGCAAAAAAACGGTCAGATAAGCGAGACCGGCCAGCCGCGGGACGGCAGCAGCCTAATCGGGCACTCAGAAATAGGAAATGAGACCCGTGAAAAGTTGGTAGGTTGGACGTTACTAGGTTACGCGCGTATAATTCTAAAAACGCTGATAAACAGATTAGAATCGTAACCCGCTCTAAGATTTATTGATGTCATGAATCGCGGAAAGTTTACTGTATTTGGACAACCTTTTTGCCACGAGAAATCCTTGTTTTGGTGGAATTTGTATTCGGCACGATTTATTTTTAAATTTATGGCCCCGAGGATGAGGGAAATACGGAAGAAAAGAGCTATCCCAAAAATCTGCGACAAATTTCGCGGATAATGCAGTGCTTTCAAGGCCGATTCGGGCGTGCTTTAGACTTTGGAATACACACATTTATCAAAAACACCTTGCTAAAAAGCGGACCATGCTTTTTTAAAGAATAGAATAATAGTTCTACAAAATACGCAGGAGGCTGAAAATGGTTCGTTAAAATATTTGAAGCAACCGATTGACGAAGCCGCCACTTAACTGAATGGATGCCAAATGCCACAAAAAAAATACAAAATGCGCAAAAAGAACAAAAAATTAAGTTCATCTTTTGATGCCAAATTGAAAAAATACCCCAAATCGTTGCTGAACCATTTTTCAGTGGCTTGCGTTTGTTATCCGAAAAGTCTCGTAGCCATTCAGCAACAATACGCTCCAAGTTTCGATATGTTCGGAAAGGAATATGGGGGTCAAGTCGTTGCGGTAAGCAAATTAATACGTTACTCTTTATCTCTCCGCTCGCTGGCACGAAAATGCGGTACGTATCGAGGTGTCAGAAGGAGTGATACGTACCAAATGACTCAGTTGGTCAAGAAGTACTGATTTTCTACGTATTACTTACCTGAGAAACGTTTTAAAAATTAATTAGCATAATTTCTAGGGTAAAAATCGTATTATGGCTTAATAACAGGGTATTTTATAAGGTATTAATACTATTAAAGATCCCTAAAATCAACAAATTCAGATATTTCGAAAATCAGGATGTTAAAAAGGTTTAAAATTAAGTTTCTTTAATTTTTTTCTGGCTAAAACGGTATTTAGATTGTTATATGGGTATTTATAAGGTATTAATGCTATTAAAAAGGGATAAAATTATGGGATTTTTAATCTTTTGTAATTCTTCAGATTTTCGGCTTCACCTTAGCCGATCAAGCTAAATTTGAATACGCTTCTTTCTAAACTTACTGACTCACTTTTTGTAAATATTAATTATAAAATGCAAGACAATTATACGCGTACTATACTGACTTCATCCACTTGACTATTGCCTTATCGCTGCCTTAACTGTAAGGATATTTCGAGCAGCGGCGCCCCATAAAACACGATAATACGTTTTTATACGTATTCCGCTGCGCTCCAACTTCCGCCGGCTCTTATCACCCCAAAAAAGACGCCACAACCGTAATTTTGATGACTGTTCGTCTGGAATTTGCGTATTCGAGGGGAATAAGCAAAATTTTGGTCACTTTTTGGCAAGGAAATTCGAGGGGATGGTAGAGGTATATAAGCGGAAAGTTTTCTGGGACCCACCACAAAACTGAACTGTCTTCTAAGCCAACACACTTCGCCTTGAACGCTGAAATGTGCTGCACCGCCACTACCGCTACCGCCTTAATTACCGTACTCTCGGCCGGAATGGGCTCCGGAACCGACTGGTATGTTATTTTTATTTTAGTTTTTTGTATATTTCAAGTGGCTTTAAAAAGTATATTTTGATATGATATCTTTGATCTTGAACGTTAACGATTTTTGGCGGTTGAATTGGTTTAAGATGTTTCAACTAATTTAATTCTAATTTAATGCATTTTAAGCCAAATGAAATTGGGTTTCGATCGAGTTATATATTATTCTTAATTTTATTTATACATGGTAATTCTAAGGATTATAATTTTTTGCTTGCTAGCTTCTCATTCTAAGGTTATTCAATTGTTTTGTATTTAAAAAATTTTCTATTGTGATACTTTCCATAATTTTTAAATTAAATTTGTGAATTAAAATTAAATTAAATTTCTTAAACTTAAACCTTTTTGGCTTAAAGAGTCTTAAAAGTTTGCTTGAAAAATTCAGCTTTCTTGGATTAATAATTTACATCTTTGGGAAATTAGCGATTTTCGGCGGTTTGAGATGCAATTAATGGTTAAAAAAATCTGTTTTAAATTTGGTTTTCAAAGTTTTGTTGAGGTTTAGATTTTTGTTTAAAATAATGCCATATTATCCTGCAAAGCTTGCCATTTAAAAATTAGATTTTAATACATAACAATTCGGTCTAGCGATATTTACGTGGTTTTTGAGCCATTCTTAAGCTTAAACAGGGTAGAATTAGCTAAACTATCGTATTAGAACGATTTTACAACTCAAAAAGCTATTTAATGAAAACCATAACCATACCAATTTTCCAGGATCGTCGACGTGCCGACGGAGATTGTGGAGGTGACACCTCCCGAGTGGAGCTTGTAACGCTTCGAAAGCCTACCTGTTCGGCTTCTCGTCTCCGTCTATGTCCCCCGTACTGCTTCACAACGCGTCTCTGCACCTGCTTAGCTGAGCGTCGACAGCGTCTAAACGTCTACAACGCCCTGAACCTGTACAAAATCAGCCAATTGCTGCTGAACTCCCTGAATCTGTCGCGCAAGATCGCACTAGGAACCCTTAGCCTAATCGTAAAGGTATGTTATTACT